ATTACGGTATCAGAAAGTTTTCCAGAGATCGTCTGAAGTGTGGTTCTTATTAGAAGCAGCTGCACTGCCTTTCGATTTGTAATAGTTAATGTAATGTACGTTTTATGTTCTTAGGTAGTCGAGGAGAACGTGTCCTACGGGTACAAAGACTTATGCTTGCACTGGCGAGACCGCTGCTTTTCCAATCAGCAGCTGCAAGCTATACACAAGATGGCGCTGGAACCGCATATCTATGGCAGTCTGAAGTTTCCTCAGACGAAGATATCCTATCACAACTTGATGATTGGACAAATGCTTGGCGGTTTGCAGTACAAGAAATCTGGCCGGGAAGTGACCGAAGCGAAAGCGGTGCTTCTGAAGTATTACCTCAGGTTTCAAGACTCGTTGGATGCCGAACGAGGCGATTTATGGGAGACAATGCTTGAGGAGCAACTGCGGAGCTACAACGATTCGGTGATTTCCGTCACGTTCCAACATTCCCGAACACTGGACAGAGAGCTGGTGAAGAACGTCGAAAACCTGACCCCGAAAATGATCATTTCGTTCGTTTTGCTCGCCTCGTTCGCCTCCGTGTGTACCATGGTTCTGTTGCGAGTGGGCAATTCGAAGACGACGGCGTACGTCGATTGGACAAGAAGCACCCCGCTGCTGGCCTTAGCAGGAATCTGTAGTGCCGCCATGGGAGTCATCTCGACATTGGGTCTGTTTCGTCTGCTACACGTCGGCTATTGTGACATCATAGCGGTCATGCCGTTCTTAGTCATATGTAAGTACATGTTGTACGCTTGGTCTGGGCTCAGTTATGCGTCAATTAGCATACTCCGGCGCACGAACATAAATCGATTATGAATTACCGGCTGCTCAAACCATGAAGCCGTTGCCTGGTCAAATTCCCACTTCAGGCAACCATGTGCAACGAGGACTGTTGGCGGGAGTTTGTACTATAATTATACGCTAGATTGCAATTAGACCCAGGTAGCGAATGAACGAAAGAGTATGAAATCTAACCTCTTCTTAAATCATAAACTATACTAGAAATATCCGGCTAACCATATCACATAAAAATGAATTCATCTTTCTACTACATCCTCCTTCCTCTGTCCGTTTTGTGAACCAGAAGTAGTTGACAGTCGTCTTTTCATATGCATCGTGTCCATTGCTCTCGTAGCGTCGATCCTGAAATGTATGCGTTAAATGTGCCGCCAGTGACCCACTTGTCGGATAGCATACGTTTTTAATGCAATATGTCTCTACGCCTCAGAGAGCCAAAATATGTGATACAATATAATATTCCTATGTTAAATGACGCACAGTACCTGCAAGTCCAGATTTCATACCATACTGTACCGCCCTTGTTCCTGTCTGCCTAGGGCAACGACTCCATGATATGTTAGCATTTGCAGTGCCAGATGCGTCTTGAATCATTTTGCTTGTATTACCCACTTCATACAGGACACGAACGATGCATCAGCAGTGTGTACGTTTTACGTGCTACCGCATAGACGTCAAAATGTCAAAGTTTTATCAGTGATAGTCGAAATTCGCTTACAGATGTGCGCTTGAAGAAGGACACTACCTGAATGGTTCAGCTGTGAAATGTTCCTCAGCTGAACTGATCATTTATTGACGGCAACGCAAAGGCCAAAGTTCTTTCAAGTCTAAAAACGATTTAACAAATTCTGTGCGCATGTGTCGTAACCGAGAAGCCTCATGGAAGGAACAAAGTAAAGGAAATATCGATGTAAGGAGGATGTTCATCGTGATTATGACTTCCCTCAAAAGTTATGACAGAGCAAACACAATCTCAGAAATAAGCAGCGATGACCAAACATAAAAAATTCGCCTTTCGGACCTTGTAAGAATTGTATCCGAGCACGCATATGTCCTGAATGATTTCTCTATTGACTCGAAGCAGCCTGAAATGACGTATCTCAAGTGATAGATCATTGATTTTGGAGGCTAGCCGTATTTGATTTATACCAGACCCCATTCTTGGATATACAAAACTATGAATCAGCACGTAAACCATGGGTCGCCTCACTGAGCATAGGTGATGGCTCTCTTTCCATGTAGTCATCAATAACACCTGTTGGCAAAAAAATCTGTTATGGCTGACTAGAGTTCAAAACAGCAACGGATATACCTGAATCCGTAGGCATGTATGATAAAAATTAACCCCAGCATTATGTGTTTACTTGCAAACTATTTTTCGACACCTCTGTCAAGAATAACAATCTTCTGTTACTTCGCCGGATTCACACGCGCAAACGGATCATCTTTTTGTTTCT